CGGAATACGTACATCACACAATACGCAGCCTCTGGTGCCTCAAGACAGCGAATGCCAGCAGCAGGCCCAGTGATGACGGCAATCAGAGTGCCACGAAATGAGAGTATTTTCACTCGTTATTCGCATACGCCTTTATGAAGCTTGCTTCACTGCGTCTGGCTTTATGCTTTTAGCTTTTCTATAAAAACTGGGTTGTCTTGCTTAGTCAGAAATTAATGCTGAACAAATAGGAAGTCGAGGATATGAGTCAGGCGGTATAAAAAGGGAAGTGCAGGCACACGCATACGCAAAGATCAAAAAGGGGAATCGGGGATGTAGAAAGTAAATACTAATCGGAATAAAGAGGAATAGTGGAACTGAGTAAAATAGTGCATATACGCATACGTGTGAGTAAACAATGGACCATGCATATTTTATGTATGCCCACGCATTTGCTCCGCGAATTTTTTTAATAATGTGATTACCAGCCAGCCGTCCGCCGATATTTTTTTCTGTTTGTCTCTCTCTTTCGAGCAGCAAATTTTTGTCACTATTTCTATTTAAATTGCGCATCCTAACATCCACTCTCCAGAACTATTTATGTTTACTTTCCAGAGTAATATTGACGATGGAATTGCTGCATGAGGCGACGAGCAATGCTTTGTGTTGGGGGTCTCATCGAATAAACAAGCAGTATTGGCATGGGTACGTTGAAAGGAACGCGACTAAGAATAAGCTGGAGTCAATGCCGCGAATGAAACAAATGACTGATAAAGCACCGGATCAAATAAGTTCCCAATTTCAAATTGCACAAGAAGAGAGTGAGGTCTGTGGGGCAAGTGGAAGGGTACTGTTTTTTTAGCGGCCGTCAAAAACGTTTCGTCGGTGTGGCCATTTACTAACGGTAAATAATGAATTTAAAGCATACAGCTTAATTTCACATGAATTTTAGACACTTTTATTATGTATTTATGTTTTGTTTATTTACGACAGCAATAACATCAGAGTTTGTAAACGTGTTGGTCGGCAGATGAATATGATCAAACTAAAACCAAAATCAACTAAAAGAAATGAATCAATCTTTTTTAAAGCTAACTGCATTCCTTCTGAAGCTTACAGCACGTGAAACAAGTTGTCAGTAAACAGAGGATCTCATTCCCTCTTTCGAAAAAAAACTGAAGTTTCGTGTGGTATTGAAATAAATTACGCTCAGGATTAAATTCTTAAAATTGGCCTTGTGAATACGTTACTTTCCAACAAAAAGAATGTACGCTTCATCCAACTCTGGACAGTATGTCAGAAAAAAATAAATGGTTTGCTGCATGAAGATTGATCGCACGCCAATTTGTAATAGATTGAAGCTTTCTTTTTTTAACATATTTTACGCTTTGAAGAAAGAAAGGAGACTAAGTGGGTCTGACAAGAAATGCTCTTCCAATCAGAGGCCCGCAGCATTGACGCAATGCCGATATCGTGAGTAAAAAAAAAGACAAGACAAAATCGGCAGATGTATATGACCTGCTACCTGCGACTTGGCATGTTCTACGCTGAAGGCAATTACTTAGTCTTCTTTTTTTTTTTTTTTGCTCTTGAGTAGGTACTTCGCGCTTCTTGTCGTGTACACGAATAAATATAACAATAAATAAGTAAGCTTATGGATGTAGAAGACGTAAGCAATGATATGTGTAAAAGCGGCGAGCAGTCGAGCTCACGGCATGGCGCTGAGCCACGCAGACAAAGACGACGGCGTAGAGGAATAAGCTGCTAAAGTGCCAACCAGGAAAGAGAGATGAAGCACCGTGTGTCGGCGCTTTATCCTCGATGTTATTCGGAAGCATATTGGGCACCGTTATTTGCTCTAGAGTACGCGATCTACATAGTGTCTACCCTACGAGGTATGTTATTATGCATTAGGGTCATATTTGCAAGAATATATAGCTATGTATCAAGAAAAGCTGACAAAGCTGATTGCGAGAAACATTGGAGCATAGAAATTATTTTCTTTTCCTTTTTCTTACTAAAAAAAAGACAGGAAAACAGGCAAGAAGTTAGTGCGTGCCGTGAGTATCCTCTCGTGCTAATAAACGAATACGCAAAAAAATTGTGAGGTGCAGAATTGTAAATGTGCTTATTGACAATAAAGTGTCGCGACACGCACAGCAAGTTGCATTTGAATGCTGCCAACTTCTCGAGCAGACAAAAAGTAGCTCTTTCAGCAAATCGCTTTGACAAAAGGGCAAATTCCTGTTCGCTTTCTTTCAGGAGTCAGCGGGGGCAGCAGCGGTGCTTGTGCTGCACTCGCAGCAATATAGTTGCAGAGCTTAGGTGAAACAATAGTAGTAGTGTAGTCTAATCAAGTCAAACACTGCACAGTCTTCAAAAATAATGTGAATCGAGTAGCAGCTTCAATTTCTTGATTTATAACTTAACATTTACGACCTCTTACAAATTCATGCGCGCGGAATCCACGCAGTCAAGTTTCACTTGTTAGCTGCATGGGTTGCGATGAGTGTCGGAGAATGACTAAAGCGACGACAGTTCTTTTTATAAATTTTATAATGACAATTCCAATATTACATGTGAGCTTCACAATTTCATCGAAGAGTTTGTATTATTGATTACGTCAGTGCCGTCATTAACTGCTCACCCGCCAAGTCACGTGATCGTAAGCGAAGACAACGGTGTCTGCAAAACAATTTGCTACCTAAATGCCAAGATATTGGTGTTTCACCCACATGTCCCTTTTCTGTTTCCTATCACTCTGTCGGGATGCAGTGCACATGAACAGATTACTCATAATACTAATTACTGCGTCCGGATGCAGTGCGTGTGGTAACTAATAATACCAAATAAAGATAACCCAGTGATGTCTCAAAGAGCCGTGAATGCATCTTTCTTTTGGACAACTACGGATGTTTTTTCTTGCTTTCTAGGCCTTTCAATGAGTCTCATAAGTAATCTGGGGGAGAGGGATACAGCTTCAAAAGACGACACTGGAAACAGTGCTCGAAAGCTGTGAAGTCACGATGTGCACATCCAAGGACCACCGCTGGCTGTTGCTTGCTCACTACTTTCAGCTTAGCCATTCGTTCTCACACTTTTTCCGGGAGGTGCAGCATGCTAGCGCTCTGTTATGACCCCTACAGTGAAACACAATAGAGATTTAATATGGAACACAGACGTGCGGGAAACCACAAATAAGCTGACCCCTTCGAAAACGGGTTATCAGTGAAAAAGTAGTGTGAAGCGTAGTGCGACGGCTGAAATTATCCCTGGATCGGTCATTCGGAACTTAATTGATCAGCGGGTAATTAGAGATGAATTTTGGTGATTTGTCGTTGTTCTCCCAGATTTACTTTTAGGTGACCTTAACAGTACGCTTTCAGGCAGCAAAAAAAAAAAGGCTGGCTGCGTCAGGGTTGTTATACAGTGGGAACTTGTGAAGTCTGTTGTTTAGCTAGATGAACAGCATTGTTCTCACTCCTGCCAGATATGTTTGCAGCATAAGTACTTTCATACAGAGTAAATCCCACATAAAAGTTCGTGGCCGAAGACAGCATTTCATTAACGCTGAATTAAGAATGAAGGGTCACTGCAGAAAAGCAAGGGAGAATATAAGATTGTAATGCAAGGAGATAAATCTGATACATGTACGGATGCTTTTCTTCCGATAAACCTATGTAAAGTCCGTACCCTTTCTTTTTCACGCTGCCACTTTTGGAATCTTTTTTTTTATTTATGATATATATTCTACGTGTATACGGTAACAAACCGAATCTCTGTCCCGTTCACCTCCTAATATTTCGCTTCTTTTTGAACTAATGGTTCACATGTCAACCATTATATAAGAGCTAGTGGAGGCTTCACCATCTCTTGTTGGTATGCAGTATTTTTATTCTATGCGAGCCCAGTACATTTAGCACGGCTGTTCATGTCATTTCTATGATTGTGTCATTAGCTCAAAAGTGCTTCTTCTGGGTGACTGCAAAGAGCTCCACCAGCTGTTTCACTTGTCCGGAGAAAGTCGCGGAAAGCCCTCACTATGGGCTCAAACCCTGCTCCACTTCTCGGCCAGGACACCGTGATGGGAAGACAAGAATGGGTGTGTGCTAGCGACTACGTAGCTGAAGAGCATTGCAGAAGCCGCCGTTCCAGCCACAAATTCCCAATGTATAAAACACAAAAACTATAGGCAACGTTGTGGAAATGTTCCTCCCAGCTGCTATGTGGGGCGATAAAATCATCTCCCATGCCGAGGGCTCTCTTTCTGCCCTTACAGATTGCTTTACACTCGTACAAGTAGTATTCCATGCTTTTATTCTCTGACCAATTATGTTTATTTGTTTTTTATACACCAGGAGGCCTCGTGGGTCACAGGTAAGCATCTTCACAGACTTTTGTGCTTACCTCGTGTCGGGGAGACAGCCACTGCGTTTTGTACTCACATTCGTCAAAGTATAGGGTACCAGGAACTTGGAAAAAAACATGTAATTTGGAGTGCTAGAGTATTGCTGGTGTCGCTGGCCTCTGTGTAAATACCTGTGTAAATACCGTTTTTTGTTCATGTCTTTATCGTCACTGCGATGTGTTAAAAATTTGAGAAAAATGATAAATTGTGCACTATGAACGGCAAAGAAGAAAAAAATTTCCCTGTGAGTTTCTTTATTTTATAATGGTTATAAACACTTACACAGCAGGGTGGCACTATATGATCACACAGCTGTCTGTGGTCGACTTGTTTTTTTTTCTTGTTTTTGTTGAAAAGTGTGACAGCGTCAAGCCATATCCGTGGTGTCTATTCCCTGAACGGCGTTCAATATTGCGATGCGATGCAGTTACTGTCACTCCAGTGTTATAATAGGTTGCTGTTGCTCCCGTGTTTTGTAGGGTTCGGGACTCTAAAACGATGAACGATAAACAAAAAACAGACAGAAAAGGTCTCTTTCCTTCGATCACGATTCTCATTTGTATTTCCATTTCCATAGCCGTGTGGCTTAGTGTCGACTAAAATAGGTACAGCGGTTTATTGCAAATAAGTACATATACTAAAATCTGAACGATACAGAGAAGATTAGCATGGTCCCTGCGCAAGAATGACACACAAAATCGTGAAGTGTTCCACATTTTTTCTCGCTCTATGCTTCCAGTGAAGGCCAATGCTGCGGTTGACGAGGCTCCGACAGCAGATCGTCAAATCATTTCTAAGCTGCGATCTAATGTGGATGTCACCAGAGGTCTTCTGACAAGCATTGATACGCCAACTGCTAGGAGCGGCTTACAAGCGCTCGACGTGTTGAGCCCGGTCCCTGCAAACCTCCAGTAAAGTTATGGCCAACAATCACAACTAGTTTCGACAAGAGGACACAGAATCGTCAATTTTTTAGTGCAACGCAAGAGTTCTTAGACCTCTCATCTCCGATTTCCGTCAGTTCCTTCGTCTATATCAATTTCCTATCATGGTTATATGTGAACCGAAATTGTCGCACCCAATGAGACTATCCGGCAACGAATCATTTTTTTCATCAACTGACATTGAAAGTAGCAAGGTTGTTGTATATATTCACCGGGAGTTTACTTACGTCATCCAGCCAGTGCAACCTTATGACGACAATCAGTATGTGGGCTTGACTTTTAAAAATAGAAAGGTGACATTGGCACTCCTGGGTGTATATATATCCCCATCAAGTTGATTCGACGTCAATAAACTGGAGGGCATATTGAGGGCACATCCGTGTCCATCGGTTATGACCGGCTACTTCAGTGCACATAATCCCATCCTGGGAAGCTCAAGGGTTGATTCAACTGAACGACGTCTAGCATCTTTCGTTCCCAGTCATGGTCTCATCCTTCTGAATGACGCAAGTCCTACGTTTTTTTGAGGCACCACATATAGCGGCTGCCTTGATTTGTTTTTTGTTTCACACCGATTCGCTACCCGGGTAAAGTGGCTTTTGGACATTGAAACACACGGAAGTGACCACATCCCCACTTACCTGAAGATCAAAGGTATTTCGAACACGTACCCATCTACCACGACACGAAGAATAGATTGGACTATGTTCAAAACTCAACTTGGCGATGCTTGTGAGGAAGGCCTTTGCGGGCTCTCCCATGGTCTTCAGCAAGCTATTAAGAAAGCTGCACATGCGGCTATGCGCACAATAATTTGCTCTCCGAAGAAGATGCCGACGCACCAAATTAACAGACAATCTACGAAGAGCCCCGCGCATCCAAAAGATACAACAACGCCTTGACAACTTAGACACCCAAAGCACGGAGGAAAGCCTACATACAATGAACCATATTCCTATCAGAGAGTTACCAGTTGTCATGCCAATATTGTGGAAATATATGTACATGTCGCATTATTTCTGTTTTTCCCTAGATGTCCACATAATATTTTGTAATCTGTGATTGAATTTTCTGTGTAAAGGCTTTACTCGCTAATTAAACAAATGACTTGTCTATAACGGATCCTTAACTAGACATGTTGGCTCTGGATCGGGATGTTATTGCACAAATGTTTGTAAGCAATTTCATTAAAAAATGAAATATTGTTCTTCTAACTCACGGGACCCGTGCATGGATCTACTGTTTACATCACAGGAACTTGATGCGGCGCTCCTTCTATGTATTCGGTCGTCGTCGACTGGCCTGGATAACATTTCTTACTGGATGCTGTGCTACCTTGGTGAACGGGCACGAGAAGCGCTCCTTAACATCTTAAACAGATCGTAGCAAGGTGGCGTCATTCCGCAAGATTGGAAGATTAGCCGCTTGGTATCGCTTCGTAAGCCTGGCAAAGCTCACCTGGACAATACCTTTTACCAACCGATCGCACTTTAAAGTTGTGTTGGAAAAGTTATGGAAAGAATGATCTTGGCCATACTTGAATGGTACTTTGAATACTACGAGATATATCCGAACACCATGGCTGGTTTTCGCCGTCACTATTGTTCCGTCGACGATGTTATAGATCTTGTGACGTATCCTTAGCATCAAAAGGCATGTCAGCAATTATCTCTGGCCATATTCTTTGATATAAAAGGAGCATACTACAACGTCCTTCCTGACGCCATCCTCGAAGCCATTGAGTCAGCAATGTTAAGTTTGGCCTGGAAGTTCATCTGGGCCGACGCCATGGTGCGTAAGCCGGTCCACTGGAGAGGCTCTCCATCCCTTCGGCACCCAGTCTGCCAGACGCTGTCGAAGATTTGAGTAATTCAACACCCTCTAGATTAGTCTAGAGGGTGTTGAGTAATTACCCAGACCATGTGACAAGCGAAAACGAGTTCCTGACTTTCAACTACGGACCCTTTTGTCGTCTCTTCGAGCAGAAGTGGTGACTGATGCCCTCGGCGACTCATCGGGCGACGGGGAAGCTGGCGTGACCGGCGCCAGAGCTGGCGGGGGAGCGGCGCTCTTTTAATCCTCAATCAAGTAGCCGACCGGCCGACTGCCTATGCCCGCCAGGCATTGTTCCTGCTCGCCGGAGGATGAGACGTCGTGTCGCCACGACATCGTAAACAGTTCCAGAGAGGACAACAAAGAGAGCATCTTCCTTGGAAGAGACCATGGCGGCCGCCGCAAATCGCCCCGCTAATTAAGCGAACAAATCGGCAGACCCTTTGATGTATGCTGTCAGGCTCGTGGGAACTCTCGACTAGCGGCACACACACGACGAGGAAGAGCCCTGCTGGCGCCACCTTGCAGTGCAGTGTTCACAACTCAATATTGGGCGTTCACGTGGACCGTGCATACTCGTCCCCCTCACCTTTTGTGTGTGTGTGATTGGTATTCCACTCGGAGAGGAGGAGCCCGACAGAGCTTAAAACGACGCCGCAGAGTGCTGGACGTCGCTCTGAACCATGTAACGGTTCAACCATCACGCTCGTGGTTTTTGAAACCCCTAACCTTTTTTGCTGTAAATATGTGTAAATAGTGCAATAAACCTGTTTTTTTTTTTGTATCCTCCAGCGATTCTCCTTCGACCCTTAACAACTGCTGGCAGCGGTGGGATGCCATCAGCAGTGACCTTTCTTCTGAGCCTTAACAAGTGGTTGGCAGCGGTGGGATGGACTTCACGACATGGTGCTGTGCTATGGTGAGTCTTGGTCTTTGCTATAACTTTCCAGGCTTCATTTCTTGAGTGTGCGTTGATTAGAAGCTGGATTGTGTGTGAGTTAGGGAGATCACCTATTTGTTCGTTCGAGGGATCTCCTACATTTGTGTGAGATGCAGGACTAAAGTACAACGGCAATCATGGAGGTGAAGACACTGCTAAAAGATGGTCTTTTGTACATTTGTGGAGACCTTGGTATTAATATTAAGAAAGGAATGGGCAGGTCAGAAGTTTTAGAGCTAATATTGAAAAGCGACAGTGAGGAGGATATTGGATACGCGTTAAAAGCTTTAAAAAGGTTGGAGGAACGAAAGCAGGAGCGAGAGAGAGAACGGAAAAGAGAAGAATGGGAGCGAGAGGAACGGAAACGAGAGGAACGCGAAAGAGAGGCACGGAAACGAGATAGAGAAGAAAAGGAAATAAGAGATAGAAAAGAGCGTGATCGAGCACGTGCCTTGGTGCTCGAACAATTGGAACAGAAAAACGAGGCAATGAGACGGAAAATTCAGCCTTCCGTAAGTGTAGCTCAAGAGAAGTACGATGTTCAAACGAGTGAGGTGCAGTCCAGATCTATAGAGAAGGCTAGCACGTGTGAAGAGCGCAGCAGGTTCGAAGACGAACCAAATGTGAGAGCTGCGAAAGGTGCTGCTCTGAGTAGAGAGGCCGACAAAGGCCAGAGCGTGTCCGACGAGGTGCCATGCCAGTTAGATGCTAGCGAAACAGCTAGGATATCTGTAGACAGGCTGGTACAGGCCTAAATTGAGGTTGTCGCGACGGTGGAACTTGCAAACAATGTGGAAGTAGTCAAGGACACCGGAGAAAGCTCAGGAAAAGCAGCGAAAGCAGAGAGTGAGAAGAACAGTGTGGTTGTAGGCAGCTCCCAGCAAGGCGAGCGAGATTTTTGGAAGGGAAGCAGCTGCACTGTTCTTAAAAGCGTCAAGCTGTCCGCCAGTCTAGAGTGGGAAATAGGTCATTTTTTCGAAAATCATTTAGACGGCGCGGTGTCGACAGCTGATGAGTGCAGTGAGAATGTTAGCGACCTTGAGCTGCGAGTGGTTGGCTCAGAGAAGAGTCGCAAGAAGCGGTGCAGACGCAAGAGACGTCGGAAGGCCGCGAGAGGGACAGAAGGCACTACGCGGGTAAAAGAAGGGGCAAAACCTTTGAGCCTAGCTAGCGAGCCAATGAGTTCAGTACTGCCTTCAAAGTCGGTTTTCAGGCGTCCGAGCCGCCGGACGCAAAGTAAAAAGAAAGCGGGACTGCAATAACGTGGAAAGAGCAAGTGTTATGGGTTGCCTTTGAACTATAATACTGTTGATGACTTAACCCGCGACCAATTTCGAACCATTGAAGGAAAGGTCGGTCGCAAACGCCGCCGTAAAAGGAAGAAGCGTAGGCAAGTGACAAGGCAAAGGGATGAAGGAGGTAGCAATCAGCCGGGTGAACGACGGAAGAGTGGGTTATCGGCCAGTTCGCCGGGGAGGCCTTTGTGTCGTGCAGCAAAACGCCAGCGGCGAAGGGGTAGGCCACAGCGCGCATCCTCGCGACAGAATTCGCGGAAGAGGTTTAAGGGTTTCAGTGGACAGGGGGTATCGAAGGGGTCCTACAACAAAAGCCACAGTAGCTAAACCCCGCACGGGAGTGAGCCCAAAGAGGACATCGCCACTCTTTCCCACGCGTTGCTCGAATCCCCTCCTCCGGGCTGACCGAAGCCCACCGAAATCGCGAATGAGGCGTAACGCTGCTGTTCAGCTGGAAGCACGTGCTCGGGCGTTCCCGAAATCCACCAAGACCGCGACCGCCACGTGTACGATTGAAGACGGAGGGACAGCTGTAAGCTTGAGAGGGTGACACAGGAATTTACGGGGAAGCATCTTTGTTTGCTTATTTTTTGGGTTTTGAAGTAATATCCCTTTGTAATCTCCCCGGCTAATTCGTGTAGCAGCAGTTTTTTCCCTTCTAGATTTTTTAAAATCATTGTAAGTGTTTTAATTGAGTTACTGGGAAAT